AAAGTCAGGCAAACCTGGGTGTGAATCCTGCAGAGTATACTTAAACCCTCTGCACCTCAGGGACCTCATCTGTAAAATGAGCTTAAAAATAATACTCACTGGATAGGATTGGAATGAGATTTGAATATAAGTCCCTTAGCTCCGAGCCTGGTGCATGGTTTATGCCTCTAACATGTTCCTTGTTGTTATTCCTCAACTCAACTTCTTCATTCCATAGACAAAGAAACTAGATTCAGAGAGAAGTGATTTATCTGCAGTCATATAGCCGGATAGTGGCAGAGCCAAAACTAGATCCAGACATCCCGTCTCAGTCCTCTTTCTGCTGCACCACAGTACCATGGATCTGCCCTCTTTTATTGACTTTCAGCAAAAAGAGGTTGGAACATGTTCCAGCTGGTCAGGTCTGTGCTGAGCCGGTGATGTTGCCAGGGACGGGCCCCCGGAGTGTGCTGTGGAGCACGGGTTTCTCACAGTGACACACTCTGTCCTGGGAGCTATCAAATCCCGATCAAGCCGATTTCCGCACAGCACTGAGCACCTGTGCTCTCACTATCAATTTGCCTTCTGGAAGTCAAAGCTCCAAACAGGAGAAGTTGATTTGGGTCTTGTCACCACCAACAGCTTTCCAATGTTCCAGAAACTGACAAAACCTCTGCAACCAGCCAACCCTCAACCCTCATTCCTGAGGGTCTCTCTCCCCAAAGACCCTCTCCCATAGCTGAGAGACTGGATTGTTGCCTATCTTATGCCTCATTTTGGCCTACAATTACATGAGAATGCTTTACCCCCAATGTTCCTCCCTCTCCCTTTTCTCACAGGACCCACACACAGGCCCGAGGGCTTTTGCTCCCCGGAAAGTGTTCTAATGGTCCACAGCAATATTCAGTTCTGGCAGGGAGGAGTCGGTGATCTGCAGTTAGGGCAGTTTAGGTTCCTGGTGTTTCTGGAGAGGACAGATCCCATTAACTCTAACAAATGTCCCCAGGCTCCTAACCTTTGTCAAAATTTCCAAAATCCAGCCAGACCCTGAGGCTCCTTGCAGGCAGTCCAGGCCATGTCAGTCCCCCTCAGAGGCCAGACCACCCACAGATGCATGAGGCAGTAAGCATGTTTCCCAGCCTAGGCCAGCAAAACACTCCACTCTTTGTGTGGGGAAAGATCTGGAAAATAGAAAAGGAGGGGATGGTTATGGTTATGCTCATTTCAACAGTTAGCGAGGTGAGGTGCATGGCTCATGCCTGTAATGCAGGCACTTTTAGAGGTCAAGGGGAGAGAAGTGCTTGAGACCAGGAGTTCAAGACCAGGGCATTAAGGAGACCCCCCATCTCTACAAAAAATAGAAAAATTACCCGGGCATGGGAATGTGCACCTGTAGTCCCAACTACTTGGGAGGCTGAGACAGGAGTATGACTCAAGCCCAGGAGTTTGCAGTGAGTTACAATGATGCCACTGCACTCTAGCCTGGATGACAGAGTGAGACACTGTCTCACCCAAAACAAACAAAAAACCCACAGTGATAATGATGCTATAATTGTGTAGCAGAAAGATGGCTGGACTAGACGTTAGGCAGCCTGGGTCCTAACCCTAGCTCTGTCACTCAGTGAAGCACCTGCCCTTGGGTCCATCGCTTTGCCCCCCTGTGCCTCAGTTTTCTCATCTGCTGTGTAAGCAGATTTGCCTTGAGGATCTATGATAAGCCTTTCAGTGCAAAATTTGTATAATGATGATCTTCAGTTCCTATTACACGTTACAGTTTTAAAAGTACTTCCACATCCAGGCATGCCACCAAGATATTGTGGGAACAGTTCCAGACTTACCATAATAAATAATCACAGTGAAACAAGTAACACAATTTGTTTGGTATCCCAGCACTTATAAAAAAAAATGATGTTTACATTATAAGGTATTCTATTAATTGTGCCATAGCATCATGTCTAAAAACACAACATGCATGCCTTCATTAAAAGTATGTTATTGCTTAAAGATGCTAATGTCCTGGGCAGCGCCTGTGGCTCAAAGGAGTAGGGTGCCGGCCCCACATGCCAGAGGTGGCAGGTTCAAATCCACCCCCCCGGCCAAAAAGAAACTGCAAAAAAAAAAAAAAAAATGCTAACGTTCATCTAAGCCTTCAGTGGATGTAATCTTTTTGCTGGTGGACGGCCTTGCCCCCAAGTGGATGGATGCTTATCCATCAGGGTGGTGGTTGCTAAAGATTTGGGTAAGGGAGGCAATTTCTTAAAATAATACAACGATCAAGCTCGTCACATAGATTGTTCTTCCTTTCATGAAGATTTCTCTGTAGCTCATGATGCCAAAATTACACCTTGATACTTGAGAATGGATGTTATGTTAGCAGACATGAAAATAATAGCAGTCACCTACCAATGCCAATATGGTACCTGATGAGCACCAAGGGGGGGTCAGTCACTGCCCCAGAATAATCATTGGTATATTCACTGAGTTGCCCTTTTACTATTTCAAGAACTTTTCCTTTGCATTCGCAACTTGGCTAACCATTTGGCACAAGGGGCCTACCTTTTGGCTTATCTCAGCTTTTGACACGCACTCCTCACTAAGCTTGCCATTTCTAGGTTTTGATTTAAAGTGAGAGATGTGTGAAAATGTGTGACTCTTCCTATCACTTGAGTACTTAGAGGCCAGTGTGAGGCTATTAATTAGCCTAATTCCAAAAGTCTTGTTTCTCAGGCAATGGAAGGCCAGAGGAGAGAGAGTGGGGAGAATGGCTGGTCGGTGGAACAGTCAGAACACACACAACTCTTAGCAATTCAGTTTGCTGTCTTATATAGACAAGGCTCTTGATGCCCCAAGACAATTATGATGGTTGCATCCAAGATCATCAATTACAGATCACCATAATGAATAAAATAACAATGAAAAAGTTTGAAATTTCGTGAGAACTGCCAAAACGTGATGCAGAGACGTGAAGTGAGCACATGCTGTTGAGAAAATGGCACGGACAGATTTGCTTAACATAGAGTGGCCAGAACCTTCAACTTACAAAAAATGCCGTATTTGCCAAGCACAATAAAGCAGAGTACAATAAAATTAGCCATACCTATACCTTATTTTGTAGACTTAATCCTTCTTAAAATCCACTGATGTAGGTAGGATATTTGGCAGATGACAAAACTAAGGTATGTGGGGATTTTGCAACTATGGGCAAAGCACGGCAGAGCTTAATGCTGAAGCAAATTAGTTCAACTTCAAGCCACTTCTGCTCAGGCTGCCTTTCAGGGGGTGGACCTTTCCCTGGAGGGAAAGGTCAAGAGACAGGCTCCTAGGAATGGGTAAACACTAATGGGTCTTTGTTGCCTTGGGATCAGAGGTCAAAGGTCTAGGTTGTTCCTCAAGTCTTTTTCAGATCTTTTTCAAATTTTTGGACCCAAGGAAGGGTTTGCCTTAGCTCCACATTCCAAGTTTGCTTGTTTTTCTTGACCTTCAGAGATGGAAGTTGGAGCCCACAGCTGTTAAGAGATTTGCCAGATTACTGGCTTGTCAGGCCACCTACTTCCTATTTCAGAGCTAGTGCCCTCCAGAAGCATTGGCATGTGTAACAGTGGTGCCGGCCTCTGCTATCCTGGCTCAAAGGGTCTAATTACTTTGAATCTGGGTCAGAAAGGCTTTTCTTGCTGTCACCCCTCCATTCCATCCAAGTCACCCTCTGTTTAGGAGGCAGATGCCCACCAAAATGGGTTGATGGCGAGGGGCTTCATATGCTAGGGTAACTAAGGCCTGAGCCCCACCCCTCCCCACCCCTGTCCTTAGTCCCACTTGACAGACTGAAGATCCTATGTCCCTGAGCACTGTTAAGGAATGAACTGTGTCCCCCAAAAGTCATATGTTGAAGTCCTCTCCCCCCAGGACCTCAGAATGCCACTGTATTTGGAGATAGGGCTTTTAAAGAGGTATTAAGATTAAATGAGGTCATTAAGGTGGGCCCTGCTCCAATGTGGCTTGTATCCTTTATAAGAAGAGAAAGTTTGGACTCAGTCATAAGAGCTCTGGACAGAGTCACAGAAGAAAGAGCAATGTGAAGATACAGAGGGAGGGCAGCTATCTACAAGCTGAAGAGCGAGGCCTCGAAAGAACCAACCCTGGCAAAACCTTGATCTTGGACTTCCAGCCTCCAGAATCATGAGAAAATAAGTTTTTGTTGTTTAAGCCAGCCACTTGGTGACACTTTACTATGGCAACCCTAGCACACTAATATGGGCACCTGTTCCACACCCTGTCCCCACCTTGACTCTCCATGGCCACCTCTGTGTTCTCCTCCATGCGCACACACGCACACACATGCACACACAATACACACCCAGCCCCTGGTCCATCAAGTCCTTGGGATCAGGAGAACTGGCTCCACAAATCCACTGCCAAATATCCCCATTTCCGGGCCTTTGAGAGTGCTGATTTCTGTTTTGAAATCCTCCCCAAAGGAGGATAAACTGCCTTTGGGCATCTGAGGGAATAAGGAAAGACCAGGAAATGCTGAGAAAATGAACCGATAACTATTTTGAGTTAGAATCCTACCACATATGTATCAGCTCAGCTTCTGCCCCTTCGGAGTCTTCAACTAGAGCACAAGTGAGAACAGTTCAGTCGGGTGGTTCCCAGTGACCAGGGATTGCATTCACTCTCAGTTAATGGCAGACATTCTGGGGGTACAGGTAGGCTGCAAAGGCCTGGTAGAAGCTGAACCTTGGACAATCCTCTCATGCTCAGAGGGTGCACGGACCCCCAAATTCTTACCCCAGACTCACACTCCCCTTGCAGGATGGAAAGGGACTGAGGCGTGGAGAGGAACGCCCCATTCCACAGGCTGTGTTTACTCCGGGCATGGCTAATGACTCCAGAGCCTTTTCATTGGGTCCTCAGACTGGGCTGGGCAGGGCAGGTGTGAGATTTAGGGAGAGCCAGTTCCCACTGGCCCATGGGAGAGAAGAAAGAAGCAGCTGGGGAAGAAGCCACTGGTTAGAACCACAATGAAGATGCACCTGCTTTTGCTGCTGGTGCTCCTGCACTTGGAGCAGGCCCAAGGATCACTTCACAGGTGAGGCCACATCCCCAGCATTATGTTCAGCTGGGGTAGTTCCCCGGCCCCCAGCTCAGGCTGCTTTAGAAGAGGGAAACTGATAGGGGAATGAGGAGAAGAGACTGAGGGCTTGTGGGAATCCCTGCAAAGAGGGTCACGAGTGCCCCCCTTGTGCATGGCCTTAATCTCCAGTCCACAACGAGGCATCCCCCGGCCTCTGCCTCCAATGAGGTGCCTGCTCAAGCCCCAAGGAACTCCTCATGTTGCTACAGAGCAGGAGCCTGCAGGTGTGACTTATAGCTCAAAGCCCCCAAGTACTTCCCTAAGGGACTGACCATTGCTGTCCCCAAGAGTTTTTCTGTTCCTCTAAATCAGCCCTTCAAAGGGTTCAAGTAAAACTGAAGACCACCCCACATCTACCATTTTCCTAGAGATCTCAAAGAACAAGTTTCCAGGAGGGACAGCCATTTCCTTTCTAAGATTCTAGGAGTCCATAGGGCCAAAATGAGGCCAGACAGGTGAGGACGCAGAGGCCGCTGATTCCAGCCAGACCCCAGTGTGTTGCCTTGCAAGTCCCCTCCTGTACCATTTCTAGTTAACCACTGAAGAAATGGGATGGAAGGAGGGGAGGGAGGAAGAGGGAGGCACAAGACCCCTCCCTCACCTGGGCTCTGTCTTCAGGGTGCCCCTCACAAGGTATCCATCCCTCCGGAAGAAGCTGCAGGAACCGGACCAGCTCTCTGAGTTCTGCAAATCCCTGGATTTGGAAATGACCCAGCAGAACAATTCCTGCTTAATGGCCCTGGCTGTCAAGGAGCCCCTCACCAACTACCTTGATGTGAGGCATCCTGGGGCAGGGGCTGGGGAGGTGGAGAGGGAGGGACGCTCAGCCTCGGGATGTAGCCAGTGCCACCTCAGCAGCTTGATGGCTGTGGTGCATTTCTTAGCTTGGGTGACCCATATGAACTGGTTCCCAGGGTCTCTGTGAACTTGGCTAAACAGGCCCCAAGGTGCCCACATGTGTAGAGCTCTCTGTGGGAGGAAAGCTGAAGGTGACAAACATCCCGCACCAAAGGTCGGGCTTCTGCTCTTCGCTGGGCAGCCGGCTAGCTCTGTGACCTGAGACATTTAGCCTCTCCCAGCCCAGGTCTCCTGATCTGTAAACCAGACGTGTTACTTCATCCTCTGCCTTGCTAACAATGTAGTTAGGAAATCAAGGTAATGCGAGTAAAATCAAATGAAGAAGCCAGGGGGCTTGATTGGATTTCCTCCCTCACGGTCCTGCCTCTGCTCCTTTTACCTTTTATTTCCCAGTCTCGCCTCTTCCAGACTCTGTAAGGTCCAGTCTGTTACACTCCAGCCTCTGGTCCCCTGGGGAGCATGCTTATCCCTCCCCACCACCCAAACCCTCCTTCCTTCTCTTCCCTACAGGTTGAATACTTTGGCAACATCTCCATTGGCTCTCCACCACAGAACTTCACTGTCTGCTTTGACACTGGCTCCCCCGATTTCTGGGTCCCCTCTGCGTTTTGCAAGAGCAGAGCCTGCAGTAAGTGGGGCCAAAAGGCCCAGCAGGGAACAGCTCCAGCAGAGCCTGGTACGCTAGGGGAGGGGAGCTGGGGTTCTCAAAGGCTAGCCATCCCTACCACACCAGCTTCCCTTTTTCATCTCTGAGGCTGCCCTGGAACTGCTTCCAGCAGAAATAGGGCTAGGCTAAGGCCAAGGAGAGAGAGCTAAAATTTGGCTGCTATCCAAGATAGCAACTTTCATCATAATCAGAATTAATAGGGTGAAAGCTACTGAAAAGAGAAATCTTTGACATGATGGTTCACTTATTTTGGAACCCCCAAAGGAATATGGGGAAGTTCCGTTTCACTGGGTATTTCTGGGTAGGTGAGGGGGAAGGATCGGATTCTCGGGCAGATTGTCTACTTGCCTCAAGAAGATTGGTAGCCTCTTTCCCAGTGCACCAAAGGAGGGACTGGTGAGGCGTGATGGCTCAGGTGGGTCCATTTAACTCAGAGGGTATGGTAAGGATTGAAAAAGAAGACCTTGGTTGATATAGGACAAGTTCCAGAGACACAGTGTCTCTGAAAACCTCAAGGTTAGGTATCCATGGATTCTGTGAAGGGTTGGGAGTCATTTCCTGAGGTGGCAATGGTTTATCCATGAGTTTCCTTTGAAAACCAAACTCTGACCCACACTTGGTGGCAGAAATCATACTCATGCCTAATAAATGGTCCTTATCTTGGTATACTTCATGAGGTCATTGTGGACAATTGTGTTTGTCCAAGGACAACTATTTGGTTCCCAATTAGGCCACACCTATGACTAATGAGGGAAATGTACCTGCTCACTAGGGGGTCATAGCTGGCCTTTCTAAGGGCTTCCATTCAGCTGACGGAAGAGCCCCGGCAGCTCTGGGGCTGTAGGGTTTGGGGGCAGGGATGAAGGCAATGAGCCAAAAGCCTAGGCAAGAGTGTTACTCTGTTTTCCAGAGAAACATGCCAAGTTCTGCCCTTCCCAGTCCAACACTCACACTCGATTGGAAGGGAAAACTTTCTCCATTCAATACGGAACTGGTAGCTGTTCTGGGATCATTGGAGTCGACCGAGTCTCGGTGAGTACAATTCTTCATCTTTTTTCTCTTGGCCAGAAACTTGAAAGACAGAACGTTGATCAGAGGTCTTAGGTTTCAGGTTGGTCTCAGGAATAGATGGAAATGGGGTGGGAGGAAGTTTCTGGGGGAAAGAGGGAGAACACTCCCCACCTGAGATGGTAGCAGTGGGTGAATCTGCTTAACACGCTGGGCCCTAGAGGGGCATCTCTGAGGGACTCCTTCAGGAAGCAGTGCCCAGTGCATAAAGTATGGGGCACGGTCTACAGTTGGAGCACCAGTGTCCAGGCCTCAGAGACAAGACCAGGCCTCCATCTTGAAGAATGAAGAAGCCCAAGCCAAGAGGCAAGGTAGGGACTCGGTTTACCAATATAAGGGGCAAGGTATGAAATGAAAGTCCAACCACAGAGACAAGGCAGTATCCCTTTGTTTGTCAAAACAAAGGCCAAAGTCAGTGCTGAGCTCATGGACTACTCCGTAAACTCCCTCTGACCAAAGGTCCTATGGGTCTAACAACTTAGGCGTCAGACAAATGTGGGGACAGAGAACCAGAGAAGCCTTGGTGCTGCCCGGGTACTTTATGCAGGTTAATAGGCAGCAATATCTGCCTAGGCCTTGTGGAAAATAAAAGTGACCTACTCCTGCTGAGCATTGGTGCAGGTCTGGGGTATTCCCAAGGCCAACAGGGCTCAGCCTTCACCAACATTCCTTCAAAGTGGGTGGGAGTACGACATATGATTAAGTGAAAAAAATGCCAGAACCATAAATATCCTATCTATGTAAAAATATCATACATCTAAAACATATAGATAAAATAATGCACCATATTTTCTATTAGAACTATGTGTGTGTATACATGTATCCATCATATAATACAGGTACACATGGTATATATCATACATACATAAAAGTACAAATAACTATTTAGAAGCCTCCATCCCAAACTGATAGTCATAATAACCTCTGAGAACCAGACTGAAATCTGCATGGAAAGTGAAGTAAGTCTTTAGTTTGTCCGCTGTTTGGCATACCTGGCTGGCATGGGGCAGCAGCCACACCCATAGCAACACTAGCTTCAATTGTTTTCTCCTTCAGTTTTTCTGGCTCCAGGGCCAGGTGCATGTTTACCTCCGTGACAAAGTGTCAGCTCATGCTTCAGGACACCCTGTCATTGAGGTTGGAGGCTTGGGTATGTTAAGAGTCCAGTACACCTTCAACCTCACAGGTTATAAATGGCCCTTTTTCTACCACTCGATATCTACTTTCTTTACCTGCTGCCAAATTATAGGCTTTCGAGCGATAAATAAGCAACAAGAAAAATACACAAACTGAAAAAAAAAAACCAGCAAATCAAATTCAAAGAAATAATAAAGAGAAAAATGGGTCATATAATAGAGAAAATTAACAAAGCCAAGAACTAATTCTTTGCAAAGAATAATAAAATTGGTTAACTTCTAACATGACTAATTAAGAAAAAAGAAAGAAAGTACAGGCTCGGCACCCATGGTTCAAGTGGCTAAGGCGCCAGCCACATACACCTAAGATGGCGGGTTCGAATCCAGCCAGGACCCGCCAAACAATAATGGCAGCTGCAACCAAAGAAATAGCCAGGCATTGTGGCAGGTGCCTGTGGTCCCAGCTACTTGGGAGGCTGAGGCAGGAGACTCACTTGAGCCCAGGAGTTGGAGGTTGCTGTGAGCTGTGATGCCATAGCACTCTACCCAGGGGGACAGCTTGAGGCTCTGTCTCCAAAAAATAAATAAATAAATAAATAAATAAAAATTTAAAAAAAGAAAGTACAATTTGACAATATTAGAAATGAAAAAGAATCCATTACTAAAGATATCCAGAATAATTTTATATTGATAAACTTATAACTTTAAAAATATAGCAAATGACCAGGTACAGTGGCTCATGCCTATAATCCTAGCCCTGTAGGAGGTCAAGGAAGGAAGATCCCTTGAGCTCAGGAGTTTGAGACCAGCCTGAGTAAGATTGAGACCCCATCTCTACTAAAAAAAATGAAAAAAACTAGCCAAGCACCTGTAGCCCCAGCTACTGGGGAGGCTGAGGCAAGAGGATCGCTTGGGCCCAAGAGTTTGAGGTTGCTGTGAGCTATGGTACCACGGCACTCTACCCAGGGTGAAAGAGTGAGACTCTGTCTCAAAAAAAAAAGAAAGAAAATCAGCAAATGTCTTGAGAAATACAGCATACCAAAAATGACAAAAGAACAAAAAATAGAAAATATGAATACTTCAATGTCTATTTTAAAGATTGATTTTGTTATTTAAAAAAGTCTTTCGACAAAGAAAATTCCAGACCCAGATAGCCTCATTGGTAAATTCTTCTAAACACTAAAAAAAAAAATTAATATCAGTCTTATACACAACCTCTTTCAGATAACTGATAAAGAAAAAATACTTCTTAACTCATTTTGAGAAGCCAGCATAAATTTAATAACAAAACTTGAAAAGGACAGTACATAGAATTAAAATTACGACTAATCTCTCTCTCATGAATGTAGATGCAAAAGTTCTAAATGAAATACTAGCAAATAAAACCTTGTGATATATAAAAGGATAATACATCCCAATCAAGAATCATTTCTTTCTAGGAATTTATCTCATTAGGGAATAAAATGAGAAAAAAAATCATATGATCATTTCTATTGATAATATTCAACATCTATTCATGACCTCAAAAAAAAAAATACCTCTTAGCAAACTAGGAATATAAAATAACTTCCATAATCTGATAAAGAATATGTACCCAAAAAACCACAGCAAACTTTATACTTAATGATGAATTATTGGGCAACTTCTTCCTCAAGAAGAATGAGACAAGGATG